GAATGACCGCGTGGCCGGCGCCGGGCCCAGGCCCTCGGTTCCCCAGGTTCCCCAGGTTCCCTTGGGCAGAGGCCACCCATGGTGTGCCGCCCGCTGAAGCCCACCGATGATGCTCCCGGGCCCACAGGGACCTGTTGACTCTGCCGGGACGCAGGGCTGCCAGTGTCTCTGCTGTGGGGAGGCACTGCCCTGCCCACTTCTTTGGCAGGCCTGGAAGCAACCGGAGTCCCGTCCCCGGCCACAAGGAGATGCGGGGCTGCCCGCAAATCTCTCCAGCGCCAGCGTGTCCCCTTCCAGCTGATCCACCTGTCTTCCTGCCATGAGTGGCCCTGGGCCAAGTCAGGTGCCCTTCTGGGATCTGTCTTTACGATGCCAGCCCACCCTTCCCATCTTCCAGCCCGTTCCTGCTGCCACCCTGGAAGGAATGACCACAGCCTGTGCCTGACATCCCGGCGGAAGTGCCCCTCGCCGGTGTGGGCCTCGTGTCCTCTCGGCCCACGTTTTTTTGTGGGAACATGGAATCCTTGTCACCTGTGTGGCCTTGGAATCTCTGCTTTCTCCACTAGCCTGAGCCCCTGTGTCAGCTCCGAAGAGCCCTCCCGGCAAGTCGTGAAATAGCTGTGTGCAGGGTGTGGTTCTGTTGGGCACCTTGGCCATCTGGGTAGATCATGATACCTTAATTCGGCTGAAGAGAGGTGATGACATAAAAATCATGCTCAATAGGCTTACTCTGATGTCCAGGTGAGAGGATAGTTTTTCTGCAGGAAGCTGGCCAATGCGCATCCCTGTGTGCCTGCTGTACCCATTCCGATGGTCGAGGCTTTCCTCTGGCGTTAGCAATGGATACTTGTTTAGGCTCGGTGGGGGTCCTGGTGTGCCCGTCTCAGGGAGTAATGTTGTGCTCCCTGGCTGCGGCCCTGTCATCGGCTTTTGTCTTTCAGTGGGCCGCACTCACCATGTCCCAGCGTGGGCCTCCGACCTGCTAGGTGAGTGCACCACAGGCCACACACCCTGCAAGTTTGTTCCACGGTGGTGTTGAGCACGCCATGCAGAGGCCGGGGTGTAGTTGAAAGTGACATCTGGGGCACACGATTGGCAGGCTCGCATTTTGTCCCCATGCACCTGCGTGGGCATCCTTGCGTCATGGGCCAATGGCCTTGACTGTCTGGCCTGGGTGTGGAGGATGACCTGGACAGGAGAGTGCTGCCCTCCAGGCCGTCCACCCACCTTCCAAACTGGCCCTCCACCGGGAAAGAGAGAGCCCAGGGCACAGGTACCCACCTACCCATCATACATTGCTCCTGCCCCTGGGTCCCGCCCCAGGTTTCCCCAGCAGCACTTGGGTATTGGCCACGCATAGTGTGCCCCGTGCTGAAGCCCACTGAGGAGGCTCCCAGTCCTGCAGGGATCTGCTGACTCTTTGAGGACGCAGGGGAGCCAGTGTTCCAGGTACAGGGAGGCTCTAGCCTGCCAGCTTCTTCTGTAGGCGGGCAAGCCCCTGGACTACCCATCCCCCGGCCACATGCAGGTGTCGGGCTGCCCGCAAAGGTCCCCAGCCCCCAGTGTGTGCCCTTCTACAGGGCTCACTAGGCCAAGCCGGGCACCCATCTGGGGCCGCTCCATGAGATGCCACACCGTTCTTCCCATCTTCCAGCCCGCTCACACTGCCACCCTGGAAGGAAGAACTGCAGCCTGTGCCTGTCATCCCATCAGAAGGGTGCATGGCCAGCCGGGTCTGCCCGCACCTGAGCGGCCCTGAGACCTTTGCTCCCCTCTAGCACCCTGGGCCCCCGCATCTGCTCCCAGACCTCTTCTTGTAAGTCGTGGCTTGGGCGTGCCCAGGGGGTTGGCCTGTTGGGCACCTTGGTGGTGTGGGCAGATGAGGACACCTTAACTGGGTTGAAGAGAGGTGATGACATAAAAAGTATGCTCAACAGGATTATGCTGAGGCCCAGGCAAGAGGACAGTGGGGCTGGAGAAGCCTGGATGCCGGCAGTTCCACGTGGGGTGGCTGGGGCAGGCCAGGAGGCCTAGGCACCCCTCCAGGGCCCACCCAGGACCCTTTGTTGGGCTTGTTTGGGGCCCCGGTGTGCCCATCTCGGGCAGATGAGTCGGTTCCCCTGGCTCAGGACCTGTCCTTGGCTTTTGTCTTCAGTGGGCCGCACCCGCTGCGTTCCATCAGGGGCCTCCAAGCTGCAAGGTGAGTGTACGCACCTTCCAAGTGTGCCCCTGGCCAGTGTGGACCAGGGTTTCTCCCCGTTCATTGGGGTTGGGGGGGCTTGGCCACCATGCAAAGTGCAGTGCTGCTTGCTTCCTGCTGGCCCACTCCCGCGTGTGTGTCTTTGCCTGGAGAATATAAACTCTTGTTCTGGTGACTGGGGTTCGTGCGAGAGGTGTCCTGCAGCATGATGCCCTCAATGGCATTGTGCTGCCGGCCCCTTGTACCCCTCTCCCAGCAAGAGAAAGCAAGGGACTATGCCCACATGCCTGTCCGGCAGCAGTCCTGCCCCAGGCCACACAGAGGGACTGCCTGATCTTCCCTCAGGCATCAGCCACACCTGCCTCACCATTGCCCCTGATCTCTAACTAGGCTACAGAGTCTCCAAGGACTGCTCACTCTTCAGTGAGGCAGGGGTGCTGGAGTCCTGGCTCCATGGTGCCACTGTCTGGCTCACCTTTGCAGGCAGGCAAGAGCCTTGGTTCCATCCCCCCTTGTCCTGCATTGGGGTCCATGGTGCCAGGGAAGACACCTGGCCCTGGGCGTGTCCCCATCCACAGTATACACAGTGGGACCTGCTGGGTCTTTCCCTAGGTGAGCACTGTGTCCCTTGAGGCGACAATGCCACTGGGAGGGCATAGCTGAGGAGAGCCAAGCCGGCACCTAGGGACGTTTAGCAAGAGTGGACCTGGTGGGATTCAGTGGTTTCCCTGTGGTCCAGGCGAGGCTCTAGGCAGGGCCTTCGGAGCAGTGTTCAGGCCCAGGTCCAGCTGCTGAGGCCCTAGACACTGTGCCAGTTTGTTCACAGTGCAAAGATGGGGAGGTCAGGGTCTGCTGCTGAGGGGGGGAGTCTGCCTCTGGGGGCATGATAGACCTGGTTCGAGATGCCCCATTGGCAGGCGACAGGGGAGTGAGCTGGGAGTCCCAGGGAGGTGAGCAGGTCCCTGGCGCGTGGGTATGGTGGAGAGTCCTGCAGTGAGGCACTCTCCCCTGCCAGTACTTGGAGCTCAGCTTAGTTGTTATCCTGGATACTGGTGGGTTTTCCTAGGTCTCCTTGTCCCTGATACCTGGCTTTTGTGGATCTATGAGGTTTTTTTGTCCCACTGGCTTGGGGCACCTATTCTTAAGGGTGCCATTTTTTGTCTTTTGGCTCCAGGGTCTCCCCCTGAATTGGCTCTGAGCAATGCTGTGCCCCCTACCCTGGGCAGATTTCTGTGATGTGACCTCTTTCTTATTGCCTTGCAGCCCAGGTTCTGTTCACTGGTCCTTTTAAAAAATATATTCTCATCAATTAACATTGCATAAATTATAGAAAGGAGTCATAACAAAAGTGAGGCCAACATTCCCAAAAGAATGAAAAGTAAAGTTCACGTCTAACTGAAAGAGTTGTAATAGAAAAGAGAATTATAATCTACTCTAGTGAAATGGAATGGCAGGATTCAGTAACTGCCTTTCAGTGATCATTCTTCATTTAAGTGGTCTTAACATTTCCATCAAAAGCCAATGAGTGGAATATCAGATTCAAAAGCAAAGTATATGCTGCATAGAAGAGATACAGCTCATCTGCAAATTACATAAACTGAAAACAGGACCCTGAAATTTAGCAAGAGTCATTATCCTATTTTCAGAAAGTGTGGGCTTCCACCCAAAATCAATGAAGAGACAATGTAGGTCATTATATAGTGGTAAAACTAACAATTCAGCAGAAAGAGATAACAATTGTAAATATATGTGTACCAAAGCCTGGCACATCCAATTTCATGAGACAAATATTACCGCACGTAGAAGGTGGGACAAACAGCAGTACAATCATAATGGCGGACTTCAATACCCTACTCTCACAGTTAGACAGGTCAACCTGACAAAAGTCTTGACAAAGAAATAACAGAGTAGGGGGCTGGGGATTTAGCTCAGTGGCACAGTGCCTGCCTGGCAAGTGCAAGGTCATGAGTTCGATTCCCGATACTAGAAGAAAAACAAAACAGAAGAACAACAAAAAAGAAATAACAGAGTAAAACCACACTACTGAACAAATGAACTTAACGGATAGTATCTATAGAATGTTTCATTCAACATCAACAGAATACACTTTCCTCCACAGAATATAGAACTTTCTTCAAAATAGACAAGATCTTAGTCCATTAAAATATGCTTTAGTAGATACAACAGATTTGAATGAAACTAAAAAACAGCAAAAGAAATCACAGAAACACATGGAGATTAAATAACACAATATTGAATAGTAAATGGATCACAGAAGAAATCAAGGAAGAAATTAAACATTTCCTAGAATAAAATGGCAATGCAGCACAACATTCCAAAACCTATTGGCAGAATAAAAATGGTTCATTCCAGTAAGGAAGTTTACAGTTGTGAACACCCACACTAGAAAAATAGAGCAATCCCAAATAAGTAACTTAATGAACATACTTTGTGGTCCTACAAGAACAAGACCAATCAAACTCCAAAACTTGCAGAAGGAAAAAAATTACAAAGTTGAGAGTGGAAATTAAGAAAATTGGGACTAAAAAAGCAATACAAATGGTCAATTAACTAGTGTTTGTTTTTTGAAAGGCTAAGCAAAACTGACAAATGCTTAGCCTAACTTAACAAAATAAAGAAAAAAAGACTCCTATCAATCCAATTAGAAGTGAAAATGGAAAAATCACAATGGATACCACCAAAATCCAGAGTGTTATAAGAAAATTACTTCAAAAACTTACATTCCAATACATTGGAGAACCTGGAAGAAATGCATAAATTCCTAGAAACATATGAATTATCAAAACTGAATCAAGAAAGGCTAGGTGCATGCCTATAATCCTAGCACTTGGAAGGCTGAGTCAAGAGGATCACTGAGAGCTCGAGGCCAGCCTAATGCGCATAGTCTGAACTGCATAGCAAAATCCTGTCTCAAGAAACAAAAACCAAACAACAATGCCAAAAAAAAAAAAAAATCCTGAACCAAGAAGATATAAAAAACCTGAAAAGGCCGGGTGTGGTGGCGCACGCCTGTACTCCCAGTACTTGGGAGGCTGAGGTAGGAGGATTGTTGCAAGTTCGAGGCCTGGGCTACAAAGTGAACTGCATTGTGAGACCCTGTCTCCAAAAGACAGAAAAAAAAAAAAAAAAAGATAAAACCTGAACAGATGAATAACAGGTGATGAAATAAGGGCAGTAATAAAATCCCTACCACATAAGAAAAGCCCCAGATCCTGTGTTCCCCACAGAATTTTACCAAAACTTTGGAGGAAGATCTAACACCAATTCTCCACAAAATCTGCCATGAAATTAAAGGGAAGGAACACTACTAAACTCAAACCTGGAAGCTCACATCACCCTGATACCAAAACCAGACAGAAAACCAACAAATAAAGATAACTATAGGCCACTTTCCTTAAAGATCATAGATGCAGAAATCCTTAGCAAGACACTTGTGAACAGAACGCAGCAAATTACTAAAAAGATCATACACCGTGACTAAAGCGGTTTATCCCAGTGATGCAGGCATGAACCACATAAACAGTAGTACGGACAAAATTCACATGATGGTCTCAATAAATGCAGAAAATCCTTTGGCATAAGCCCACATCAATTCATGATTAAAAAAAAATTGACTAAAATAGATGTAGAAGGGCCTTACCTTACACTGTTAAATGTTGGTCATGAAAAACTCACTGTCAACTTCATACTAAATGGGAAAAAAATGAAAACATTCCCTCTAAAATCAAGAATAAGACTAGCATGTCAACCCTCACAACTCCTGTTCAATATAGTACTGAGAAATTAGCCAGAGCAGTCAGGCTGGGGAAAGAAATAAAAGAGATTCAAATAGGAAAAGAAGAATTCAAACTATCTTTATTTCCAGATGACACGGTATTTTACATACAGAAATAAAAACCATATTCACAAAACAAATTTAGCAAGATGCAAAATAAACATACAAAAATCAACAGGGTTTCTACACACAAACAACGAAACCACTGAGAAAGAAATCGAAAACAATCCCATTTATAATAGCTTCAAAAAAATTAAATACCCAAAAACTAACCTAACCAGAGAGTAAATGACCTCTATAATGAAAACTTCAGTATTCTCAAAAAAGACTGAATAGCACATTAGAAAATGGAAAGACACTCAATATTCCTAGATAGACAGAACAAGTATTGTCAAAATGGCCATATTACCAACAATGATATATAGATCTAATGCAATTCCAATCAAAAAAGCAACAGTATTTTCCATCGAACTAGAAGAAAACAATTCTAAAATTGTATGAAACCAGAAGTGACCCACAACAAGCAAAGCAATTCTGAGCAACAAGAGCAAAGCAGGTAGTTATTTATTTCAGTGGCTCTTTTCCTGGTTGGGATTTTTATCTGGGGATCTAATTTTTTTGAGTACTTTATTCTAGAATTGAATCCTCTGCTGGAGGAGTAGTTGGCAAAATTGTTTCCCATTCTGTAGGTTGTCTCATCACTCTGCTGGTTATTTCTTTTGCTGTGCAGATGATTTTTAATTTGATATGATCCCATTCGGGTTTTTTTGGGAAGTGTTTATTTTTGTCTTTTTGAGAAAGGGTCTCACTATACAGTTCCGGTTGGCTTTGTTTATAATACAATATTTTTTCTCTAATCTGCCTAACACTTTATAAGGATTATGGGTTCTATTTTCCTACTTCATCTTGTTTCATTTTTATATATCATTTTGATTAAAACAGGACTAGAGTTGAATTAGCGCTTTTTGTTTTCAGACAGTATCTACTGAGAAAAAAATTATATTACAGTATCTACAGGATAGTAAGGACAAAATTATTTTAAGGTGGGCTGGAAAAGAACAATGGCCTTTATGTTATGTAATCTATATCCATCTATCTTATCTCTAATATATATAGATATCCCTCTGTGTGTACATTTTATATATCATAAACATTATTTGGCTCTTCAGATATCTTGATATCTTGAGAGGTTCTGATTAGAAACTTAAGTTTCTTAATATAATTTGAATTTTTACTGAACAATCTTTTATAATTAGTTCATTTTATGCATATGGTAGTTGATATTTTACAGGTGATATTCCCATACACTTATAGTTACATATTTCTCATTTTCAATTACTGTCTGTGACATATGTTGCATTTGCAAATAACAGTATATTAAATAAAAGTAAGGAGATGTTGGGAAGCCAGTCTGATGAGGAAAATAACGAAAACAATTTATGGGCAGATTTTTACATAGCTTCTGAAAGGAAATGCAGTCTATGACTATACCATCCTGAAAGTGCCTGATCTCATCTGAAAGGAAATGCATTTTGTATAATAATAGTAATAATGGGCTGAATTGCATAAAAGTTCTAGATATTTGGGAGTACTTTGAAATTAATGATGTCAAGAATTCATGAAATAAAATTGGCCAGCCTGGATATGGATTGTGTTGAAATAAGGTTTTTAAAGATGATGTTGGACAATAACCCTATAGTCCTAATATAGACATATACCTGCCCTATGATCCAATCAGGTGAAAAGAGTGTCATGTCACACACTGCTAAGGGGTAGAAGTAAACACACTCTAATAATCTTTCAAATAATAGGGACCCAAGTTCACAGTTAACTTCTGACTCTTTGTTTCTATAATATAGTAAATATGTCAGCATAGACAACTGCCCCTGCCATACTACTGCACATATTACTCTATACAGAAAGGTCCTAGAAGACTTCTAGAGTTGCCATTATAGCTAGCAGTGCTAACATCAAGCCAAATGTCCACCTGTGCTGTTACATGACATAAGCTGGTGATAAACTGCTGAGGGTATTAGTGTGTTGTGAGGAGGGTTTATTTATTGGTAGCGGACTTGTCTGCACTGAAGATAAGCACAAGTATCAGAGGGTACCCACATGCAGCTGACGCTATCGGACAGGACAAACGGCGTCTTCAAACCTGGCTGGGTTGAAGGCTTCCTCAGTGGTCCCACGGTGTCACTATCGCATACCTTCCCCTTTTCTTTCTTTCTTTTTTTTTTTTACATCACAGTGTATGTTTATAAAAATCTTTATTGGCTGAATGTAACTTCTAGAATTTCCAATTCAAGAAACAAGAGCTGTGTCACTTATTGGCTAGCTTCACAGGGAGTATTATTGGCTATTTTCAGAAAAAAAATCAGGGAGGAAACATATGAAAAATGATTAAGTAACTGTGATGTTTGTGGCTATGACTGGAAGGGCTGAGATGCCGTGATGATAGATACATAATTTAAGGAACTGATGTTATCCTTTGTTTTTAATTAGATTGGTACAGCAGAACTAATTTATTTTCTTTCCTATTTTGCTACAGATTAAAAGCTAGAACAAGTCACTGTACTTCAGGAAAGAGAGGTAAACAACTACATGATCTTGAAATTCTTTGTGTATTCTGTGATTAGTGATGTTAGAACTTCATTATTCGGTCTGTGACTTCATTATTTCAGAAACTTAAAGATTATTTTTATAACAGATATATTTCCCCCTATGGGTGCCCTTTCCTTAAGGAAACTACATTTTATTTTTCTCTTTTTAGAAAAATCCAAGTCATACTTTTATTCATACTATGTGTGTGACAGTTTCATTAATCAGGTATTAAGCAAAATGTCTACTGTACATTTACTGTTCTTCATTCATAGTGCAGTAGATAACCTGCACCAACTCAGCCTGGCTGTGGGAGTGCCTATTGTCAAGAGGGCGCTCTTCAGGATCGATGATGAGAGCAATTGTCTGAGGACGCTGAAGGACTCATTGCAGATGTCAATCTGAGGTCCAGATGAGTTGCCCACTATCAGGATAAACAGGACTCTCCAAGCCTGGCTGTAATTGGTGACCCCTCAGTGATACCTTTGAGGCTACTCTGGGTGGCCCTTTCTTTCTCTCATCACAAGCAATAATATATCTTATGAGAAAATATACACCTTTGGTGTGCTCAGTAATTCAAGACTTGCTGCACCTATTACTTTGAACAAAAAGTTGTAGATACTTGTATACAGGAAGCAATGTCTTGGATATCTAGTGAGGAAATTGAAAAGTTAAATTTACAAAGGGGCAAGTAACTGTGATGTGTACAGGAAGTCTTACTAGCTTTGCGAAAAGAGGGAACCCTGCCTGCCTGTGTTAAACAATACTGACGAGAGCTATTTTAGTGCTTTGTTTTGCATACTGTTAAGCACTATATAAGACTCTGTCTTTGCTTTTCTTCCTGCATGTTTCACTAAGGTAGAGGGCTGGAATCCGGTGCTATACTTCAGAGACAGGGTAAGTCACTAACCTAGCCCCCTTTCAAATTCATGTCATGTTGTGTGCCAGGTTCTGAGGTCTCTGTTTATCTTTTCAGAGAGTTACCTGAAAATACTGTTATGATGTGCTCTTTTCCTTTTTCAGACTCTCACCAAGGTCACTGAAATTATTTAATCTATATTATCGTTTCTTTCATTTTAACTCTTTCCTGATTTTATGCAAAATGCAAAATTTAAAAGAATTGTTTGAGTAATTTCATATTGGATCAAAAATTGTTATGATGACATCCAGTTGTGCCAAAATTGGTTGGGTTTTCCTCATTTGTTTAATTATTGCAGTTTCAGAATAGAGAATCCACGAGGTCTTCGTGGTCACAATGTATTTCTGCTTCTAGTGTAATCATTAAGTATTGACTTGAATTAGTTTCCCATTTTTGAAATAGGCAATTATATAGGAAATTTTGTTCTCTTTTTGGTATGGGTGAAGCAGTCACAGGCATGAGACACCTGGATGGTTTCTGGAGTGCTATAATATATGTTGGTCTCTGTTTTGATTACTTGCTGCATTTGGGTGATGCAAATTCATTAAGCTGTACAATTATAGTGCATATAATTTTTCAGTCAGTATTTATACTTCAATGGAAAGTAGAAAATACCATGAAGGGAATCCAAATATTGGTTAAGACACTCTGTAACAATATCTTCCACTAGATTATGTGTTACTTGCTTCATAATGATCACTGTTCTTGTAAGAGTCCAATTGTGTTGTCTAACATAAACATATTCATAAAACTGTATTATGAAGTATTTTTTATTTCAACACATGCATTTATTTTCCCATGCATATGCCTAAATTCTTTTATGTATACCTTTTTTCTGTTATGGGAATCAGTGTGATTATTTTCTTAATGCATGCAAAGATGTCACTCATAGGTTTTAGAACAATAGAAATCCACATGCCTTGCACCGTGGAAAAACTCACGTACTTTTGGTGAAATGAGTTGAAACATAAAGCCACAGTCAGAATGGTAACTGCTTGGATTGGCAAGTCGTTCTTACCTTTGGAGTTGCTGACACACTGAGACTACACTCTTTATTTCACTTTTAAATCCTTAATTTTCTCTACTTTAGTGTAAGATCAGAAAGCTCTCACCATCAATTACTGTCATGGCTTCACTTAAGAAATTCTAATGATACAAAGACTATAAGATGACTTATGGTAGGCCGGGTGTGGTGGGGAACACCTGTAACCTCAGTACTTGGGAGGCTGAGGAAGGAGGATCACTGCGAGTTCGAGGCCAGCCTGGGCTACATAGTGAGATCCGGTCTCAAAAAAAAAAAAATAAGATGATCTATGATAGATATGTTTTTGATATCTCTTCCATGCTTTCCAGATGTAAAATATTTAGTTATTTGCCCTACCTTAGGCATACATTTTCTATATCAATAGAAGTACCTATCAATCTGTACATCTATAATTTTCTAACATAACAAATTTATTTCATTATAAGGGAGGTATTAAGTATGTAGGACATTTTGGTAATGATAATATTGTACAATCTTCTGAAGTTATACATGTCCTGAAGTCTCTATGTAAAAAACCATAGGTATACGAGGAACCTTGATGGATGGATGTGAAGGACATCATATTTTCTTCAGCCATTTCTTATTTCCAGGACAATGACAGTTCAGCATATTTTACTATTGCAAGCTAGCATACATTTGTCAGTACAAACCAGTATTTATGCACTCATGCTTCTGTTTCTGTGGAAATTATTTCTAGAAAGAGTAATGCTTGAAAGTAAGGTGCATGCAACTTTCTTCAGTGAGGTACAGTCAAATCACCACCAAAATATTCAGGTCATTGCCGCTTCAGTAATGTACTAGAATATTGAGATAAATTTATATTTTATGTAGTTAAGACACCAAAAATGTTCTTATTTAAGTTTTGTTTTGTCTTATTTTGTTTTTTTGAGATAGATTTTCACTTTGTAGTTCAGGCTGGCCTTGAACTTGTGGCGATCCTCCCTCCTCAATCTCCCAAGTACAAGATATCTTCTTACATGATATGTTTAACACTACTAAAATAAATTATAGTTACTATAATTAAAACTGGCAGTGCTTTAAAAAATGTATGCAATGAGTAGCATTTAACACTGACAGCCATGCACACATAGACATGAACTCCCAGCTGCTTCACTACTACTAAGTGAAAAGCAAAACTAGAATACTAAGATTCAGAAGTTCTAAGCCGGGCATGGTGGCACATGCCTATAATCCCAGCACTCGGGAGACTGAGGCAGGAGGATTGTTGCAAGTTCGAGACCAGCCTGGGTTACAAAGTGAGCTCAAGGCCAGCCTGAACTGCATAGAAAGACCCTGTCTCAAAAAGACCAAAAAAACCCAAAACAAAACCGAAGTTCTGTAAGAGCCATTGTCTAGATAGATTGTTTAAGTTTATATCTTCAATTATAATATTTATAAAACACAGTGTACACATTAATAATTTAATTTTTGTGATAATCAATGCAAAGATGACAGTGAAAAGGAAAATTTGATCATGATAAAGCAGTGTTAACATGTAGTCAAGGTAGCCTTCATAGTATGAACTTGGACAAATTTAGCAAGACAGTTCTTTGAAATATTTTCCAAATTTTAATATTTTAATAGGTATTTTATTTTATTTTATTGAGACAAGGTCTTGCTCTGCAGTTCAGGCTGGCCTTGAGCTCACTTTGTAGCCCAGGCTGGTCTCGAACTTG